AACATAGTGTCATGATGTTGATCTTTTTTCAAAACCTCAAACCTCCTATATTTGTCAAGCATATGGATCAGTATATCCGATTACGACAACCATTTCCACTCAGGATTTGGTTTTCCTAACCCTTGACTTTGTCTATTAAACTTGCAAGATAGTGTCTTCCTTTGTCTGTCTCATATTCTTTCATCTGTCAGACACGCGCAATCCTACCAATAGCTAAGCAACTGATTGTATAGCTGTATGGATCACTGGGACTCACAAGCTTACTTCTGGCATACCACATTGGAGACACATCAAAGGGATTACCGATAAGAAAAATATTGTAAAATTCCAAACAGCTCACGTACATATATGTTGCAATATTCTTTGTCTTTTTCTTCGTGTTCACCAGCTGTAAACTCCGGCAGAAAGTTCTGGTTGTTCGTACACCTTTAGAATTTGGTCTTATTCCAGAACTTGAAGGTTACGTGCATATCCGTTTTTACAGATCTGCCTTTTTTGTGTATACAAACAGTTGTTTCATTGCCTCTCATAAGATCCACTCCGATTTCGAATGAAGAGCCCAGTTAGTTTACTCTTACGACATGCTTGTTGGGGAGGTAGTGGGTTTAATTTTGTTTTCTTCCACAGTGGGGCCCTGGATCCCACATGGGATGGGCGAGAGAGGGGGGGGGGGGGGTTACAATATTTAGTTTTAAAATATCACTACAAGCAAAAGTTCTTTTTTTTTTTTTAAGTATCCAGAAGCCATGAGTTGTTAACCTTTAGGCTCGGTATTATGGATATCGCAACCCTTCGGCTTTGATTCCATGATAAATACCGTAAATCTGGGAGAAATGTGACTTTTCTGTGGACCACAAGGAGTTCGTCACCCGGTCACCGCGCAGTCCGGTTTAGCCAACTACGCTAGCGAGCAGCAAAAGCTCATCGATGTGATGATGACCTTCATCCCTACCAAGACATCACACCGAGCGACAAACACCCGGTGACACAAAGTACATTTATTCGGATGAGAATCACCCGGGGACAGGCCCCAGAAACCCCATTCAACCTATATGCTGGGTTATATTAGGGCCTCTGGCACCAGCCAGGGTAGGGCTTTGATAGCTCATCGCGAATACTTTAAGTGAAGTCGAAGAACCAACTCCAGCAGTTTTGGGTTGCTAGTGATTTTACTATGCAGTTTTTTGCTTGCTCAGTAATTTGCCACTGGCACTAGATGTCGGCTCTCAGTACAAAGCAGTCACTTGCCAAACTGCGTACAGCCGGAATCTAACGGGGTATTTTGGAATTACGAACAGTGTTCGCAAGGCCTAATCTCCAGACGATGAAGCTGAAATTGAGAGAACGCAGGACGGTTAGCCGCCGGTCGAGAGCGTCGCTCAAAGCACGAACTCCATAGCTCCAGCGACGATTCTCGAAATCTCCGTAAAAACTGCACTCGTGAACTAAAAGGCGTAGCCGTGGAACGAACCGACGACCTTCAGAGCACGAGGCAAACGGCTTGACCACTTCGCCACGGAGAACCCTTACCAGATAATGAGTCTATTTTGACGAAGCAGGGGAAAGAACAACGCTTGTCACGAAATACATTTCCTAAGACCAACAGTTATGCCCCTTAAACAAATTTACTAAAGTAATTAGTCAACCGCAGTTTCGACTTCATTGCAAACGGGTCACCGTTACTATGCCAAATAAAACCACACAGAATATCCATCACTTCCCATCGTTTAAAAAATGTATACTGACGTCATAGAAAAGCCAAAAGCCTACACACACATTAAATACTAAATCAGTTGTGCCAACACAAATAGTCCAGCACTGGAAATGCAGTAAATCGAGGATGCAAGTTAATGCTATAATCTCCTTATCTCCATGTGGGATGCAATTTTTAGTTATTTTGAAGCCCCACCCTGGCTTTTGAAAGGGGCCCCAAATATAGCCGGGCCTGAAATGTGGCCTAATGGCTGAACGGGGTTTCCAAGACCTCTCCATGGGTGATACTCATCTACATGGTGGCACTTTGTGTCACCCGGTGTTTATCGCTTGTGTGATGTCATGGTGGAGTACAACTTACATAGGATGCAAGTAGCAGTTACAACAGATCAGTAAAATTAATAGTGCTGCCAGGACTGAACCCAAGTCATTGTCATGACAAGCTATTGTAATACAACTACGTTATTGGGATTGCAAAAAGTATAATATACTTTATATAATTCTGTTGTTTATTATTTTTGTTTCATCTGTTTACATAATATTCACATACTTTATTGTAATCGTTTCAGAATCTTTAAAAAACACAACAAACAGACCAGGGGCTCACAAATGGCTTGGTCCCATGCAACGCTTTAAAAAACACAACAAACAGACCACTGGCTCACGAATGGCTTGGCCCCATGCAACCCTTTGAAAAACACAACAAACAGACCAGTGACTCACAAATGGTTTGGTCCCATGCAACCCTTTGAAAAACACAACAAACAGACCCGTGGCTCCCAAATGGCTTGGTCCCATGCAACCCTTTGAAAAACACAACAAACAGACCACTGGCTCACGAATGGCTTGGTCCCATGCAACCCTTTGAAAAACACAACAAACAGACCAGTGGCTCACAAATGGCTTGGCCCCATTCAACCCTTTGAAAAACACAACAAACAGACATGTGGCTCACGAATGGCTTCATCCCATGCAACCCTTTAAAATGTCAGTTCCTTTTCTGAAAACAGTTGACTATAAAGTGTGCATAATAAAATTATTTAATGCAATATTCTAGAACAATTTGTTTGTGTTTCTGCTTATTCATTTCACTCACGTGTTACATGAGAATCAGCTGTACACACATGCCGTGATTGTAACTGATTAACAGAGCATGTTGAGAAAGATGGAGACAGGCATGCTCCATGCAGAGTGGCAGGCATCACTTCAGAGGTCCTGGGTAGTTAAAATCCTTTGGATATTCTCTCCAGGTTATGCCGGTGTGTTAGGAAATAAACAGGCAGATAGACTGGCTGGTTCAGTACCACTTGGTGGTGAACTGATGTATGACAAGCTAGGTGTAGTTAGGGCCCTCTGGGAGTGAGCAAATAGTGCTGAAAGTGCAAACAGATCATTACGGTCTGAGGAGAATGGCGCTGCGAGGAGTTGCCAGGGTATCTGGTTGACGCTTTACACTCAGGGGATGGGCGAATCAGATATACAATCAGACAGTTACTGGTGTCATCAGAATTGGAACTCTTTGTTTGATGCTGAAGATAAGGACAGAGCACTTATCAGAGTGTCCTGAGGGCTACGATGTCGACTCTTATTTCAACATGAGACATTTAACGTATGTGTTATAGGGACCAAAAAAGTGTTTAACTGAACTATGACTAATAAATTAACAAAGGTTGGATTGAAGTAGAGGGTGGGAAGGGGGGGGGGGGACAATGCAGGAGAGCATTCTGACCACCAGGGAGATACGTGAATAACTATAAAATATAAGAAGAGGAAAAAGTGATACGGAAAGAATGAAATAAGGGAATTAAAAACAATTAATAATATTACTAATAATCCAATAAAGGTAATAAAAGTATTGTGGAAGCTATAGCAGAAATAACAGTAACAATAAGGCCAATAATGATAATAGTAATAAGAATAAAAATAAATTAACTAATAAAAAAATTCCAACCACGAGTATAACATAAAAATTTTAAAAAATACAAGTAACAGTAATTTTCTTCCTCTTCAAGGGCTGTAAACTCCTAGGGAAAGTTCTGGGTGTTCGTCCACCTTCAGATTTTAGTCTTGTTCAAGAACCTGACTGTTGCGTGCACATCACACAAAGTTCCATAATTTAACATTATGTAATACAGCTGAACAGGGTATCCAAGATTTTGAGTCAACACTTTTTTGTCCGTTCTCTAGACCAGTCTTCTTCAGTCGTGAGTTGTGGTCCACTGGTGGGCTCCGGAGAAGTCCAGGTGAGCCACCAAAACTTTCACTCTAATCATACAACAGGGCAACATAGGTAGTTTTTCTCTTCCAAGATTGCACCAGGGTAGGTGAGGTAGCTTTTCTCTTCAACAATTGCTGTCTTTATGATTTAACACAATCAGATAGGTACAAATCCCAGAAACCCATTTAAACCCCATACAGTGATAATATTTGACACCCATTGGTTACGTAACTTAGTCTAGTTTGGTCTGGGGAAAAAAGAAAATAGATTCATGTAACGGTTATATGATTCCTATTAAGTGAGTGTGGCGACGTATGTGGCAATTTTGTTTCTGTGTTATATTTACTATTTGTGAGCCATAAAATCATTTCCGCAGTTCTGGTGGACCATGGGTGCAAAAAATGTTGAGGAACACTGTTCTAGACCCTGTCAGGGTCTGATGAGGCATATGGTGCAAGCTTTGGTATGTGCTATGCAAATGCTCGTATCCATGGCCTCAGATATTCCAACTATCCATTGCTTATGTGGTCGAACACTAGCTCTGCTTATGTTGTGTCTAAGTGACAGATCATCACGTGGTGCACTATCTTGTATAAGTCTGGACATAACCGATCTGCTGTCTCTTGATGTAATTTGGCGCAGGTTCGGTCCCAGCTTGTTTATTGATATCATTTCTTATTCCCCACTCCTCCCCCGCCCCCTTTTTCTCTCTCTTATTACAGACATAATGTGCCGGTTCTTTTCTCATAACATGGTCAAAAACTGTGAATGTCTCTTTTCAATATTTGTGAAAAGTTGTCTTAGCTTCTTTCAAACCATTTAGACTTCTCGTTTGGCTTTTCAAGGAATATTGAGCATTCTTCTTTTAAGACAGTAGACAATATTAACTGGGCTTAACAGAGTTAAAATAACTGTGATCATTGATTTAAACAAAAATAACTGAGTAATATAAACAAAAAGTATTGAGAGCATGCAACAAGTTCATGATCAATATATGGTAAAATATTTGGTACTGGTACGTTCATACATGCAGGGAAACTTTCAGAGACACCAACTGTGGCTATCCATATCACAGATTGTCAATAGGAAACTGAAATAAAGAAAATAAAGTGTCTACATTCTGCTTCCAAAACAAAAGCTGTAAAAAATGAACAATGAAAATAAAACAATAATTACATTTTCCTCTTCTTCTTCTCAACGTTCACTGGCTTTAAACTCTGGTGGAAAGTTCTGGTTCTTCATCCATTTCTCGACTTTGGTCTCGTTTCATAACCTGAGTTTTGCATGCACATCCATTTTACATGTGTGCAGACTGTTGCTTCCTGGCCTCTCAGGCAGATGCACTCCAAGTTTGAAGGAAACAACCCTAAATAGTCGCCTTTTGCAACACGTGAGAGAGCGGTGGGTCTATTCTTATTGTCTACCACAATGGGACTCCCAGGACCCACAAGGAAACATTTGATTCAAATAATCAAAAATATTTGGTCCTCTAAAACAAGGTTTTACTATTGTCGATTTAAAACAATGAAGATGCAAACAACATAGTGTACTATGTCATTGTCACGCTATATCTGATAAAGTGGATACTGTAGAACCGATATCAACATGAAAGATTTCTTCATTTTAATCTAATATAGAATCATTCCAGTCTGAAGAGAGTTGTGCAGTGACCAGGGGATTCGGCCGATGATCAACACTCAGGAAACAGGCAATATGGACATACAGTTTTACTTTTACTGGTAACATCAGGATTAAAACTCCTTGCTTGCTGTTGAAGATGAGGATAGAGCACTTCTGGGAATATCTTGAGTGCTTTGATGTTGGTTCTTACCTCATAACACGTTCAATATTTGATATGTCTGAGACGACTGTGTTGTGGTTTTATATAACTGACCAGTGCTCTCTGGTCAGTCCAACCTAATATGGTACTAGCAAATGTTGTAATAAGTTAAGCCAGGTAGGTAGTGCTTTGCTGGAGAAAATAATAACAAAAATATTGTCACGTTCAACCAGTATCCCTGAAGGGGGAGCTTTAGGTTATAATTGTGACTAAGTTATGTGCACCATATAAAATGTCTTAGCACTGCATGCCACCAAAAGCCCTGAAAAGGACTCCTTCAGTGTTGATGTGATCAAAGGAGACAGAAATACTATCTCAAACGGGAGGATGTCGTCTACCGGCGAACCAATGGGCAACTCAGTCACCAGTGTGTGAGAAGTAAAAGCAACTTGCATTCTAGTGGCCACACCACTCACTGAAAGCTATTATAAACATATGGATGTAGCACCATATGCCAAATGGCATTTTTTTAAAAATTCTTTATTTCTCATAAGAAGTTGTGTGTCAATTTGGTCACTGAAGATGTGGGCCTAACATAATATTTTCCAATATGCCTCAGTGGAATGTTAAAGACACCAGTAGCAGACCCAAAAAATATGGAAACTGTTTCAATGAAATCACAGGGATGCAGAAGTGTTGAACAACATGTGGTAGTGCATGAGGAACAGGCCTCAAATGGGACAAGAGCTAAATACACTTCTCCATGGTCATCCTAGATATAGGTTCCCACCAAGAGACTGGCCAACATAGATAGGATCAATTTGTTTTTCTTTCAATTTAGATTGCATTTGCCAGAGAAGTAAGGAACCAACAGTCTGCACACAGCCAGATTTGTAAAATGGATGTGCACACAGCACTCAAGTCAAAGAGCACAACCAAAGTACAGAGTGGATGAACAATCATGATTTTTAGCTGGAGTTTGCAGTCAGTGAACACAGAAGAAAAAAATGAAGGAGGAGTAGAAGAAGAATGTAATTATACAATAGTCTACCTCGATTCCTTTATCTGCTGGTTCAAATCCAAGCACTTTTCCAAAAAAGTAAAATTCCCCATCCAGAGAAGCTTTAATGTTCTCTGCTTTCCGGAAGCCATGCTGCTCACCTAAGTTAAACATAAGTAAAACATCAAATATCAAACACTGTCTCTAGATATGGCTGGCTACAGTGAATCTTCTGAAAGACTGTGAGTTTTAGGCATGATATATTGACTTGGCTACAGTGAATCTTCTAGAAATGTTTGAGTTTTGGGTGTGATACAAGGTCCGACAATTAAGTAATGAGACATATTCCATAAAAATTTAAATAATCAACAGTTGAAGATATAACCTGACTAGGTCAACAAAATGGCAGCTTGTTTGTTGTCTGCTTATCGAGCGGCAATGAAAAGTTGCCAGATCATAGATAAATGTTGCCTCTTTATATTCCATGATTTGCTTCATAGATAGCATTTTTTGTCTTGGTCATAATAAAATCAGTCTCTCAACTTAATTGTCGGAGACCTTGTATATTGACTGCTATTGTGAATCTTATGGAAGATTGTGAGTTTTAGGCAAGATATATTGACTTTGCTACTATGAATCTTCTGGAAGATTGTGAATTTTATATGTGCTATATTGATTTTGCTGCAGTGAATCTTCTGGAAGATTGTGAGATTTAGGCCTGATATATTGACTAGGCTACAGTGAATCTCCTGGATTGTGAGTTTTAGGTCTGATATATTGACTTTTATAATTTCTGAGACCTGAAAAAGCTGGCTAGCAAACAATAATTAGAAGAAAGGCAAGATGGACATACAGACAGCTAATGATATTATCTGAACTGGAACTCGTGGGGCGGTGATTTCGGTCACAGGCATGAGGGAAAGTTAAGTCTGATGTGATGTGTAAAAGGAGATATTCCGTACCCCACTCGGGCCCCAGTCCTTCACTGTTCTGGTTCTACGGAACCTCATGCAAGACTCCTGCTGCACGTCCCCGTCGTGCGCCATGGATAATGTCTCAAATGAGCATTAACAGAGTTGGCAGGGGATCTCGAAGCTGGCGGCCCCTAGAGGTGTAGTGTCCTTTCTGGCCCGCCCCCAAACGCATGGGTGAAAAGTCTAACAAAACTCATTCGGAACACGAGTAAGGATTGCTTGCCAAATGTACCAACAAATGACAACTCTCGGTTAAAATTCAGGAGCGAATGGAAAACTGCTGCTGAGACTCAACCCTGACCGAGAGATTTACAAGCAGCCAAGACAAGTAACATCTCTTGTGGGTGATTTCTCGCAGCAAGATCCTACCTATGTACATCCTCTGTCAATCCTCAGTGTTGTCGTCACCGCGCTGAGGTACACCACGGCAGCAACTTTTCATCTGCTGGCTAGAAAATAATGTCCGACAAAGTTAAACCCCACGGCACACATGCAAGCTCAAAGTCCGACGATCATAATTCGTACCGATTAGGAAAAAGTCCAAATGTCCGTATCCACTGGTCCCACTCGCTCGAGTGTTGGAACCAAACAGGTGAAGCCACGCCTGACGCATTTTGCTTCCCCATTCTGTAGTGCTAAGGGCACAGCTGAAACAACGTTAAAGGTGTCTAACGTACTATGAAAAAGAATGTACCTATTTGTGTGGCCACAAAAGTCCTGGACCTGCGGGCTGCTTCCCGCTGATCTCTGGAGAGAACAGCCTTGTAGCGTGAGAAGCTCAGTACACGGTTGTGAGGTTAAGCAGTCATGGGCAGGACGTGACGATTCCTTGGGTGAGCCCAGAACCAGAGCATCATGTGTCAGCTCTGCATTTATGGAAGCCTCCTTGGATGGCGGGGAATGCCCATGATCTGCCCCTGCCTTCCCTTGAGGGCTGGCAATTCTACCTAGGGCTGCCTTAAGGAGGATATTCCGGGGACCACACCTGTTAAAGGTCAAAGAGGACACCACACAAATGAGGCAACATCTCAACCCACACAAAACAATGGCCACAGTCAACCTAGAAATAGGCTTGACGTCTTCCCTCGAAGTCGGAGTACATCTGCCGGAGAGGCGGGGAACGAGAACTGCAAACAAATAAGCCAGTAAAACGGATGTACACGCAAAACTCAGGTCAAGGTAAAAGCCAAAAGTCCATTTGGACGAACAACCGCGACTTACCGCCGGAATTCACAGCCGGTGAACAAGAAGAAGAAGAAGAAGAAGAAGAACTGGAACTCAGCAGAGGCTGCTGAAGATAGAGACAGAATGCTTATGGAAATGACCTGAGTGCTCTGATGTCGGTTCTTAACTAACCTTAAATCAATGGATGTAGAGATGTTTTTCCCAACCATGTACTACAGTATCCTCTCCACAAGGAATGTGTTGCAGAGACTTTCTTTCACTCCCCAGACTCAGAAACC